GGATCAATGTAGATCATAGACAACTCCGTCTTTGAGATATTTCTGAGATGGCGAGGAATACTGTCTATGCAGGGGATGGCCTGGATGCCCTCATTCCTTGGGGTCTGAGGAAGACTAGTGAAGCGATTACTGACGATCTCAGAGTCTTCCGACTGGTCATGTGTGGAGATAGCATCTGTTGAACAAGTCTTCTCAAGACAGGATGAAATGTATAAAGAGCGTTGCTTGTCCGTCCTGACAAGACTTCTTTTCCCTTCATCATCACACTCAGCAAGCACATCCCATCTGATCATCTTCTCTTCACTCTTCAGCAATCCTCATCCATCTTAATCAGCATCATCTGCCACTTCCAAACTTCGACCTTCAAGTCTACCTCAATCTTTTCAAAATGCAGTTCTCCACCGCCGTCATCACCGCCATTGCCATGGCCCTCACCGTCACCGCCGCTCCTGGCACCGCTGCTCCGGTCAAGAGAACCCTCGACACGCTCACCTACGCTGATGCACAGAACGTCTGCGGCCAGAACCTCAGCGTCAGCTGCTGCAACCAGGTCAGCGCCGACACCAATGTCAACGACAACTCGGGATCCGGAATCCTCTCCGGCATTCTGGGTGGCGTCCTCGGCAACGGCGGCTTGAAGCTTCTTGATGGATGCTCCTCCCTTGGAGCTGGAAGTGAGATTCTCCGATACCAAGTGTCTCTCTCTAATGCTAACACTCAGTAGTCGCCAACGACCTCTTGAACAGCAAGTGCAAGCAGAGTGTTGCCTGCTGCAAGTCCGACGGCAACACCGTGAGTCCTCACCGAACTAATATGACGAATTGCAGACTTCAGCTGACTTTGATTTCTTCAGGCTTCCGGTCTCGTTGCTGTCCAGCTTCCTTGCATCCCCATCTCTGGCCTTTTGTAAGGAAATCCAGAGGTCTCCCTCTTCATATCAATGGTTGTTCAACTATTTGGAACTACGGGACTACTCGGCTGAAGGGCACGATGGAGGATTTGGGGTGGTGTATGAGTTCGAGGCAACAAGATGGATTCGATTCGCGATTAGGGTTCTACTCTGATAGATAGCTTTCAAAGGCTTTCAAATATACTTATTTGCTTTCAAACTTTTGCCCTAAGAACATTCAAGAAGAGTAGAATGAATTCTCGAGCAATAGTCCTAGATTCATGCCGGATGGATTATGGATCATGGATGTCAAGATGACGAGTTACAATTTTCATGGTCAATATGCCTACCCATATCTCAAGCAAACACGAGCGGATTTTTCTTTTCGGAAAGCAAAAGCATTACTGTGACGTACCAGGCTGATGTACCCACAGCCTAAATGTCCTATCTCGAGCTAAGATATCACTACCTCTGGGAGAAATGCTTACAGGGTATGTCGGAAATCACGGACATTTTGTCAAGCCGGATACCATGGCTCTAGACTACGCATCTATTCACTTGAGACAGGGCTGATATTAAACGGAAAATAAGAGAAGAACTAAGAGGTACGTCGGAGATTCATCGGAACGCTTCATTCCCTAGGTGGTGGTTGCCTGACTAATCGGGTTCGTCGGAATTCCGAAGAGTCCCGTACTTAAGCGACGAATGAATACAACCATATCCCTAACTCAAGCGACTTTTGAATTGTATCCGAAGCCCTATGTAGGCATTGCCACGAGGAAGCTCCCGCGAATATTGCGGGGTGCAGCGCGTGCGGAGGTCGGGACGAGCAAAAATCCCGTCGTTAAGGATAGTCGAGTCGATCTCTCAGGAGAGGAGCACGCCTATCTCCTAAGTCCCCGAAAGCGATCATCGTTGCTCTGTCTCGTGTTATAAGATGGACAGAGGACCACTTCTGATACTAATGGCAGAAGAGACAGTAAATGCTTCTGCGATACACCCGATATTCAAATCTTTTAACTACAACATTTACATCATGAACCCCTTGAACTCTCAAATCTCCCAAGACAGTTACCATTGGATCTCGAAAGCAATCGATAGTTTGGATCCCGAGACAGACTATGAGACCATATGGCGTCTGACATCAAGCTACCAGCTTTCTGACTTCGCCAACAACTTGATCTACACCCTTACCTTCCCCAACTTTGTCATTCCCCTACATGGAGCAGAAGTAGTGTGGCGCTCTGATGGCGGCAAAGTCGTCCATAAAGCCGTCGACAGAGTCGAGAAGACGGAGCACTACAATATGGCGTGGTGGTACTACGGTCCCAGTGATCAACGTTGCCGAGATGCCGTTGAGAGAATCAATCAGCTACACGCTGGGCTCGCGCGACAGTATCCTGGAAGATTTTCCCACAACGAGGACTACGTCTACACCCTGACCTTCAGCGCCGTCTTGATGCATCGCCTGAGGATACGGCTCGGTCTGTCAGGTTTCACGGAAAAGCAGCAGATTGCTGCTCACCACTTCTGGCGGGACATGGCTCCTCTCTTCAAAGTCGAAGGCAAAGGAACTGTGAAGGACTATCCAGGAGATTTTGATGGATGTATAGCTTTCTGCGAGGCGTATGAGAATACACCTCGAGAGCACAACGAGAAAGCTCGATACATCGGTTTATCCATCTTCAATCTCTTTGCTTACCGCTATTTCCCACCGGGCCTGCGATGGTTCGGCATGGCGTTCCCCCGAGCGCTTTCTCTGCCAACGACGCTGAGCGCTTTTCGCATCGAGCCGGCCAACCCCTTACTGGCAGCCATAATCATCTTCATCGTGAGAACAGTGTTCCTCGTCACGGAGATCTTGCTGCCCGATCCCAAAATCCCATTCTTCGAAAGATTGGAGACACTGCCAGAGATAGAGGCACAAAAGCGGAAAGAGGAGGTAAGGGCCTTGGACAAGTCCTATGAGCAATTCATCATGTCTCAGTTGAGCGGTCCAGGCTGTCCGTTTAGCGCAAAGATGAAATAGGTATCACAAGCTGGAAACTTGCTACCGAGTATCGGCCAGACAGAAACAATGTCTTGGGCATAATTCCTCAATGATCTATCATCTATCGAAATAATGAACATCTAAGTCGCTCTAAGTCCTAATTGTCTCCTTCTTGAGCCAATCTCGCCAACTCTGGTCGGCAAGAATATGTCTGACTCTAGCCTCGAGCCATTCTGTATTTCCCCAGAAGCCCCAAGATGCCTGGAAGCGGCACCAATCCACCAAGGCAGTCTCCCAGTGTCGCACGAACGTCTCCCAATCATAATTCTCGGGCCCCTTCCCTGTCGGCTTTTGGCTCAGGAGAGTACTTCGATACTGCTCCAGAATAGTCTTCTCACCCTTATCCATGGCTAGCTGATCCGGTATGTCTTCGTGCTGAGTGAGCATCTCAACGGGGACCGAACAGGTGAAAAGCTTAGCGAGATCGCAGCTGCCAATTCCGAGTCCCGCGTACTGGAAGTCGAAGAAAGCCACCTTGTCGCCAGATTGAGTCGTGAAGAGGTTTTCGGACTTGACGTCGCCGTGGATGTATGTCTCAAACGGCCTGCCAGATGGTGTGAGGAAGTCGGCAACTAGCTCGGCAATCGAAGAGGATGAACCCTCGACGGGGTCGCAGAATGCCGAAGACCATTCGGAATAGTCGTCTCTGCAAAGCGATCCGTATTCTTTCCATCTGGTAGCAAGGTATGTGTACCCTCCGTTCAGCCACATCTTGGGCTCCGTAACGCCATTACCAGCCTCCCTTCGTTTCGCCTCTTCAAGCGGGGGCAGCACAAATTGCCCAAGGTCATCCGGCAGCGACGCCCAAGAGCTGCTATGATACTTTGCCAGCCAGTCCAGCGCAGCATTCACCTGCTTGCGATTGAGGACCAATCTCTTTTCACCAGCCACGGGAAACTCTGGCCGCAGGTCCGTGATGATGGTGGCGGTGAGACCCTCAAGCTCTTCCTTGCGGGGCTTGCCCTCCATATCTAGAGTGGAAGCGAGGCACTTTGCGACAGCGACATCATCTGATAATCGCGGTGCAATCTCTTGGTAGAAGTATTGCTCCACCTCGTAGCTTAACATCTTGCGCAGGTGGCCCTCATCTGTTCCCTTGGCGCGTGGCGGTGAGATGAGTTTGATGATGAGGCGATATGTCCCATCTTCTTCTGAATGGACAGCTAGCGGCTTTTGATTCGAGTTGGCGACACCATTGGTGTTAGCAAGCTTTACAGTGAGGGCACAGATGTGGCCGTAGCCCGCCCAGAGAGTTTGAAGCTCAGTGAGGGAGACGAGCTCAAGGCCTAGCCATGAGAGCATGATTTCGGCGACATGACGAGGCTGCTTGAGAGAAGCCATGGCGATGGAGAATGTGGCTGCCGCGAATACCAATTGAGTGCTGCCAATGCTGATTCCCGTGAATGGCGCCTGAGCGATGAGATGAGTGAAGTTGGATGAGAGTTGATGAGGTTCAGTGAGCGCCACATCCATTTCGAGAACGTTTCTCAGGTGGGTCCCGATAACTTCGTCCAGTCTCAAGCTGCCATGGACTCAATAAGGAGTAAGAAAATTCGCAATAGCTGCGCGAGTTTGTGAATTCCGAAACTTGAAAAGCCGATTGGAAAACAGAACTTGAAAAGCAAAATTCAGAACTTGTCAGCGCAGCTGAAAGTAAGTTGTCAATCACCTAACATCTCATGCAAGTCCTGGCTCGGCGTTTATCAGCCCTACAAACTATGCTTGCGCAGCTGGCGCCACCTGGGGAGAGCAAGTGGGAGAAAATCCGAGCACAAACATGTCACTCATCGTCATTGTAAACTTGCTCACTCTCACGACCTCACCATTAGACTCCTACCGTTCACCGGCCAAGGTATCGGGGTAGAATAAAGCCAACAACACGTGGTTGGGGAGTTTGGGATAATCTCAGCGATCTGCCCTCAGGCCATCAAGGTGCCTTTTAGCCCCGCCGCAAGATAACCCTACTAAAGGCGGACTTCAAGACGCCGTCGTCAGCTCCCATATCAAGAGCATAAAGTTCTGTCTTCACGAATTCATTTCGCCTCTCATACTAAAAGAAACATGGGCCGAACGCAACCGTCCGTTGGGCAGCCACCGGCGGCCTTTCGGAAAGCCGCCCGAGCCAAGAAGGCCAAGGTCACCCTCAATCAGCTGATTCCATCACTCCTCCCTACGCACCCACGAGCCCGGCGCGGAATCGACTCAGCCGAGCTGATCATCGAGCCTAAGTCAGCGATTAAGGAGAATAGAACCCCCAAGGCAGAAGGCGCTGATGTTTCGGAAACCAACGGGCCATTTCACATCAGACTCCAAGTTGCCGACACTCTTACAGCCGCTCACGCCTTGGTGACTGAGAAGGCGGAATCGAATCGCCCGGTAGATCTAAGTAATAAAGAGACGCGGGTTGCAGTTCTCAACATGGCCTCACCTCTTACGCCGGGTGGTGGCTTCGTCAATGGTGCCGGTAGTCAGGAGGAGTCATTATGTATGCGGACTACGCTGCTGCCATCTCTCAAAGACGAGTACTACCGTCTGCCAGAGCTCGGTGCTATTTACACACCAGATGTACTGGTTTTCCGAGATGAAGATGCGGACGACGTGTTGGAGAAAAGAGACCGATGGTTCGTGGACTGCATCAGCGCCGCCATGTTGCGGAATCCAGAAATTGAGCGAGACGAGTACACTGGTTTCAGCCACTACGTTCAAGAAAAAGACAGACAGCTCATCCTGGAAAAGATGAAGATTGTGCTGCGGATATGCCAGCTCAAGGGCATCAAGAAGATTGTGCTCGGTGCTTGGGGATGTGGTGCCTACGGGAATCCAGTCGCCGAAGTGGCCAAGGCGTGGAAGAAAGCGCTACTACCGAGGAACGACGGAAAAGGGAAAAAGAAAGGGAACAAAGAGACATGGAGCGGGATCGAAGAAGTCGTCTTCGCGATCAAAGATACCGGCATGGCCGACGCCTTTCAAGAGGCTTTCGGGAAGGGCATTGAGAGAGACGTAGAAGCCGAGGCGGATGAATCCGATGAGGAGATTGATATCGCTCAAAAGAACAAGGAGGAGCTTCAAGCAAGGATTGCCGAGTTACAGCAGCGCATCGATGCCACACCAAACCCGCAAGTCAAGACGGGCCTCAACTCAATTCTTGCTGGGTTGATAAGCCAACTACCCGCTGATTCGGGAAAAGAAACTGACGAAGAAGAGGATGAAAGAGAGGGAACAGCGGACGACAGCGGCGATAGTGACCCAGGTTCAGACGAGGCATGAGTCTAGCCATGAATTATGATCTATTGATAACACTATTGGCCCCTGAAGATGTGCCCCAGCTCACCGTCGGATTGTGTTCCTCCAATTCAGAATCAAAACTGGCTACAAGAACGGTTAGAAAATGCCCCCATGTCAACGTCGGACAAAATAAGCCGAGGTGTTACTTGCCATAGCTTCGTAATACATGCGCGACTAGCTGTGATTCGTACAGCCTCGGTCAATAACTCCCCTGCTGGATGTTTTTGCCGGTATAGCCGATGAACCGATGAACTAATCCCGGCCGAGGCTATCATCATCAAGTGCAGGGCACATCGCCATCTGATGGTTGATGCAGTCATCTGTTATGGCCAGTGCGGTACTTTCGAACATTCCTCTCAGCTCTCGCCAGCTCTGTTATCATTAGCAGGACAGTTCAGCAAACCACGTAGTCTTTCTCAATACTGTCGGTGATAGGCAAAACGGGAACATCCAATACTACCCATTCTCCAGCGCATGGGGTTGTTCAAGGTTCCTAAGACTGAACCTGCACGACTTCTATAGCTCTTCCTTGAGTTGAATTAGGCGTCAACGTAATTACTTCGTGTTGGCGAGTGATTTCGAAGACACAACGTAACTAGAATCATGAAACTCTGCAATCGTCTCATTGCAACATGTCATTGAGTATGAACTACCTGAGCTTCTAGAGCCTAACTTAGGTCGTTGTCTATAACATAGATCCTTCATCTTCTACAAGTTGTGGACGGTGCTGTTCCTAGTCCACCTACGGAATGTCTTGCCATAGAAGTAAAATATCGTCCCGCAAGCACAGAAAAAGACGGTCAGCGCCATGTTAGTCATGAAAGCCGGTATGAACCTATTTGTGTCAGCATATGGCATCGGCCAAAAGAGAGAAGCTTAACTGACCCTGCCTGTATTGTCCAAGGGGTAATGAATTTACCCATGCCGTATCCCCACACGTTCTTGTTCACCGTGATAGCAACCATGAGAGGACCAGTCACTGGCTTGTAGCAGTCGATGGCGTAGGTGCTGGCGATACTGGGTAAAGCAGCAACCTGGATGCCTGCGCTGGCGTAACCGAGGACTACGATGATAGGCCAGGACCAGTGGTTCTGATATCCAATAGCGGTGATAATATTACCAAATATCATGATGATCACGAATGGAATCATAGCAGGGAGACGCATCTCAGGCTCGCGGATGCCGTTGTTTCGAGCAGTCGCGCGGGCGGATACCCAATCGCTGAAGGGGCCAGCGGTGACGAGTCCAATCAGCGCACCAACAAGAACTGCCAGATTGGTAAAGCCTACAAGAGTTAGTCTCATACAACAATTGTGGATGCGATTTCAGGTTTACGAGGCTTACCGATAGACTGCGAGCTCATATTGTAAGGGGGTGCTGCGAAGACTTGAGACTGCGTGAGGTTTAGAATGAGGAAGTTGCTACAACTCCAGCTCACAACAAACGACGCAAATACCACAATGGGGAATCCAAAAAGCTTCCAGGGAGTCCAGAGGTCGAACCAGATGGTCTTAAGGGGCGAAGAGTTGCGTTGGAACAGGTACCACTGCTGCTTAGAGGGGGTTCCCTTGCCAAGGTACGGGTCCATGTCCGCAGTCCGAGTGGGGTTCAATGTCTCGTCGGCAACTTCGATTGTGACAGCGTCTTGAGTTGGCTGAGAACGAATCCATCTTGTCTCTGGGAAGCCAAAGAAGGCGTAGACAATGGAGGCACCTGTCAGCGCAACGTTGAGCCACCAAAAGTTCTGCCATCCAACATGATCCGCCATCGGGCCCGCAATAACCGGCGCAATCTGAAAGGGTTAGCCAAGACTACCTCCCACAGCCGTTAAAGCTGGACCCACCATCAAAGATCCCATATAAACGACCCAGTATAGTGTATTCCAGCGGCCACGGTCGTGTAGGAAGTAAATATCGGCGATGACTTGCGGTTGCAGAGTCTCTGAGGGACCGGCGCCGATACCGTTGAGTCTAAAATGCAGTCAGCTTGCATTTCAATACTGGAGAATATGAAGAATCAAAACTTACACGCAAGCACCCATGAAAGAGCCGTATGTTGTGGCTTTCGCTCGAAGAACATGAGACGCAAGACAGACTAATTGAGAAACAATAAAGACTGGGCGTCGACCAAATGAGGACGAAATCGGAGCCCTTGCAAGGGTTAGCCATGGCTTTGAAAAGCTAAATATCCTTTTGTGGCCTTACCATATAAAATTGCTGAATCCAAGCAGCAGAATGGTCACTCCCGTAAACTGAATGACGTCTTCTAGGTTGCTGTTGTAGTCTCGAATAAGGTATGGAAACATGGACGCAAGAGACAATGGAGCAAAGCCTTGCGAGAAGGTCATTAGAGAGACCGCGCCCAATGTAGACCACTTCCATGATGCTTTCCAATTCAAAGGGTCGTGCGGGTCCTGGGATGGTTGAGGGACAAGAACCACCGTCGAGTGTTCGCTCTTGATGAGATGATGCTTCAACACATCGGCCATGACCTCAGTGCCAGGCACGACCTCGATGTGAAGCTCATGTTCAATCTCCTCGCGGGTCTCAAGGAACATGTTAGTGGAAATTCGTACATGAGACAATGCTGGACTTACTGTTTTTTCCGGATCTTTTGACATGGTTGCGATTTTTTTGGCTTGCGATTCTACGTCTCGGACAGTGATGCGATGAAAAACCACGGTGATGGATTGGAACAAACGTCGTAACATCGGGGCGCGGACGTGGGCAATAAATGTAGATACAGGCCTAGCCACATCGACCGATACAGTCGAATTACCGACGCGATCTGCGACATCAACCTGTCGACGGCACAACTACGCGTCTAGTGTTACCATGATCCTGGGTCGACCAACCTCAAACATTCGGCATGTCGTCGCGGCAGCTGCCTACGCTCAGATATCAAAAGCCGAACCACTAGGTTGAACTCTATGAGCTCTCCCCACGCGACGGCAGGGGGAAGAATGCGGGGAAATCTGGAGAGAGGCCTAGATGGGGCAAGGTGAACTTCAGCTCATCTGACAGGCTCTCATGAAATCTATCACCGGAGCTAAGGTCAAGCAGCCATCCCAGCATTACATGGGGTTGACCAATCACCCCGTCGCCGTTTTTGAGGAGGGTGTGCCGACAGCTTAGCATCAGTCCTATACATCCAAATCGGCACCATGTTGCCGGCATCAAGACAGGGGATGTCACCCCCAATCCTCCGACATTTTTTTGGAAGGAGCTTTATCATTCCGTGGGAAATACTTGCGCGCGGCTTGGCGATTCTTGCGGTATTGGTCCATACGCCTACCAACGCAGCAAGTCTGCGGGTTATGATCAAGCTTTGATAAGACCGCGGCCCCTCTCAACCTCACGAGGAAAAGTTGCCAATCACTGTTTCAATCCGAACCTACGTTGCACGGGAGTAAGCGCGTGGGGAAGAGCCCTTGCAAAACGGCTTGAACTTTGCCGAGAAATCTCCTCTTGACGATTCCAGGGTGAAGACCGTTCTCATTTGGTCTAGTCACTCCACGTGCCCAGACAAACATGGCCAAGCGAAGAATTCTAGTCCGTCGTCTCTGGGTGCCGACGCTAAGGTGCCGACAGAAATCGATGCACTGACACCATGGTCTTTTGGGAAGCCATTTACCTCCCCCAAGGGCAATTTAAGAGATATTTTGAAGTGCCGAAAGGAGTGCGTTGACTATTAGGCACGACAGAGAGCCTAGACCAGCGACGTGTTGCCCATTTTCTCTATTGGTTCAGGTGATCCGAAGGTGAAAGAAAGGCATGCTCAGACTGGGAAGAAAACGAGGGAGAATAATGACTCAGTATCTACCATTAGCCCGATTCATAACCCAGCGCTTTGTGGTCATGGAATCGTGCGAAAGCTTGTACTCAGAGAGCTTCGGAGCATTAAAGCTCGCTTCATTGAATGACTCACTCCATCTGCGTAAATCTCTCGGAAGACTCTCGGAAGTCTCAGTACATAGCTCAATGTCCCGGATACTCCTCACTCTACGGAATGCAAGTCGGTATGGAGGCCAAGTTCTAGCAACTAGGAGTACAAACGAAATCGCACCTTGTATCCTCGAATCTGATCGAGAATACCACCCCCTCACAGACGCCAGTCCATGGCCACAGTAGATCCCTCTATCCAATCGGAATTTAGAAACATCACGAAGTTCCATATGCAGGCGACGACGCTTCATTTAGCAGACATGTTGACGGGCCTAACCCGAGGAAGCGTCTTAGCCATGGGTGGCCACCCGTCTGCTTGGGATGCACTAGCCATCCCTCAGGGTTACTCGGCAGTCTTCTGGGAAGTATAACATGACCAGTCTGTCTCGTCCTACGTACTTCCACGCACCCTAATTATGAATGATGCCCCTGGATCCGTGCCCCTTGCCATCGACACCATTTAAGTGTCAATGGTCAGCTGACACTTTAGCACCCCCTAGCCGAGTCTTTTCCAGATTGACCATCGCGAAGACCATTTCGAAGGTTCATTTGTTCTCGCGTATTTGGTGGAGCAAGACTATTTCGGTGAATGATGGGGTCTTGAGTCGTCGCCGGCACTTGTATGTCGGACAGAGGGTTCCTCACTTGCTACAAGCAGATGGTCTGCAACAATGCCCATGAAGTACGGGTCAGCGCCATGGATTCTATAGTAGTATTTAACCTGTGAAGTTTTATATTTACTGCGGGATACTCGCATAACAGTTCTCAATAAACAAGATTTGCTCAAGCGTGGAGGTGGGTGGGCTGCGGCTGCCGTAAACACACCTCCTGTTCAGACCATGATGTTCGACCTCTGCTTTCCACACAATGCACGCACTTGAAGATTGGACATGTTCATTCTTCTTGCAGCCTATTCGGTGGTCATGTTCTTCTCAGGGGGTTAAGAAACCGACCATGAAATTCGATGAACCTAGAAGCTTGTCGCTAGCTGCGTACGTGGTCTGCGTGATGCAGGAATTCCAGATCAGTCAAATCCCCATTGGACAGGGCAGTTAAAGTGCCCTATCCTACTATGATCCATGTGGACCGCTTGAAAGAGGGACTTACATAATGAGAGCCAACTAGATTTACACGTTGATCGCTATAACTGTCCCTTAAACAAGCAACAACAACATGCATACTCTTTCATAAGTGATAAACAATTCCTGATCTATGTTGTAGGAGGGCCGAAGGAAGAGATTCTCCAGGGGTCCACGAATCAGATCCTTGATTCATCGTTATTTCACAGTTCTCATCTACGTTCGTGAGACTTGAGTTGCCTACAGCTTTCAACCAAGCTGGCCCGAGAAACATAAGTAGCCATCTTTTGCCCTTGTTATATGTTTGTAGATGGTTCTGTCCCGTCATCTTCGCAGACAACCGTGCAGTTTGAGTCGTAGATTACCTCTCCTTCTTACCTTGAGATGACGAAGAGAAATTTTCGCAATGACTTACTCCGGCCGCTCCAACAAAGCCTCTGTTCGAGACTGTCTCCAATCGAACTACTCTCAAATTTCAGTTGGAACACTCGTCGAAAATTAACCTCAAAATATCGAAGCAATGATTGAGACCAGATGTATTACTAATTTCTGCCAGCCGGCGTAACCCGAAACGCAGTGAAGAGAAGGTGGGAAGTTCGGAGGTACTTGGTGGCGAAGATGGCAATCGAAAGTCGCAACTGGCCTGATAAGATTGTCACATAGTTTTACCTTAGTTGCCGACAATGTCAATGTAGCTAGGTGCTGTCTGACAATCCCATTTGTAATATGAGCGGGCCTGCTTGATAGGTCCAACAAGCACATTGCACCTCAAGCTCGTACTGAGCATGGTTTCAATGGAAGCTTTCAGCTCACAAAAATTCCTTTGCTGCTGCAAATTCTGATCAACAGCGAAGCAGCTGCAGTCTCAGAATCCACGGACTAACACGATAATTCAGAACCAATATTGTGCCGCCTTTACTCAGCACGAGCCGCCCCCGGGCTCCGGGGTCCGAGCACGGAGAGTGGGACGGACAGTTAGCGGGTATTGGCCCAACTGGAAGCCCGATTATGGTGACTAAAGCGCCTTGAACCCCCAATTAAATCGGCAAAAGACGTCAAGACCGAGAACGAACTTTTAGGCCTCGCAGAATGACGCAGCTGCATGCAATTAGTAATGTAGAACCTATACTGAATCCTGTAGGGAAGTAGAACGGCAAACTGAACCCGCTTACATGACGAGGTTCTGTTACAAGAGTGACTAGGCAGTATGTGCACGTCGACTATCCAATGGTCAAGCATGCTAGTCAGCAAAGTGACTTCAACGGCCTGATACCACGTTTTAATTCCGGTACAGCTCCGACTTCAATTATCATGGCATTTCTAATTGCAGGAGAGTCGAAAATAGCTGTGCCCTTCTCCGCTCGGTGATGCTCGGGCTCAAGAATATCCGAGGGATCAAGCAATTCGCAGCCTGCAGCAAATCAGTTTTGTCAACAGGATTTATATATATATATACATCGCCAAAGGCTTACTTCACCTCTCAGAATACACTTCTCACAACACTATAACCATCAAGCAGCATTCACCAGCGACTCTCTGGGTCAATTTGTGCCGATCAAACAGAATCAAGCTCCTCTAAAGCTCAAACTTCACCATGACCGAAACAGTTCTTGTCTTCGGTGCGACGGGTAACATTGGCGTAGCAGTCATTATCGGCGCTCTGCGCGCCAAGCGCCATGTCATCGCTGTTGTGCGCAGTCAAGCTAGTGCCGAGAAGATGTTTAAGTACGTCGGCAGTCGCGACAACATCACCGTGGTTGAGGCCGATCTTACTTCTGAGGACTCTCTCCGAGGAGTCGTCGACCAAGTTAGGGCTGGCAAACTCCCTGCCTTCCAGCATGTTTGGGCCTCGCGTACGTTCTACAAAACTTCACAAGATTCATTCCACGTAGGCTAAAATGACGTTCATGACAGCTGGTGGACTCTACTGGGAGACCCCAATTTTGGAGATTGACCCAGCGGCTCTCCGCGAGGTTCTCAATGTCAACTTCGAGTCGTACTTCTGTGAGAAAACTCCAAAAACCATTTACAAGATCCGAAGTTTGACTGAAGACTCCGATTGCTAATCATTCACCTAGATGCCTATCGCGTGACAGTCCCATACTTGCTTGAGCAAGGGTTTGCTGGCAGCACTTGGACCTTATGTACGGGTGCTCAGGGCGACTATAGTTTCCGCGCTGCTCCCGCAGTGACGCAGGGTGCACTGTTTAGCTTCGCCATCGCTGCGTCTCGGGAGAATGAGAAGACGAACATCCGCTTTAACGAGGTTTACCTCGCCTACCGAGTTCAATTTGAAGTTGATGAGGAAACCAGAAAGGCTTGGGCTGGAGCTCACTTGACCACCTGTGACGAGTTTGCTCCGTTGTACCAGCAGCTTCTGGATAGAGAGGATATCAGGGGCAGCAGAGTCAAGGCCATTACTCCGAAGGATGTCCTGCAACTCTCCGTCGACAAAAGATACAAGGCCTGACCATGTAAGACAAAGGCTACAACTAGATTACAATGATGATAGGTTACGTGAGATATGCCTGAGAATCTCGATTTTCACATTCAGGGAAACCGAAGACTGAACTTTGCAGATTATGCATGACAGATAGAGCTCGATGATGGATTGAAACACTGACTGAATTGTGATGTATGCGAAGCATTTCTCGAGGCTTTCGTGTGAAACGTGAAGGATAAAATGCTCCAGATAAAATGATTGGCAAATTTGTGACTATTGCTGTGACTTCATATAGCTTAGCTGTAGCTGTATGCTCGTGAGTGCTTCCATAATTGATGGCCAAGGTAGGTGGCCGAGCGAATGACGCTTACTTGAGTACGACCTAACCGTGGGCCTAGTCCGAGCCCGGGCCGGACCCGACATTTCGGTTTCATAACTGGCACACAAGCCAACAATAACCGGAGTCTCAAAGAGATCACAAGACTTTAGTTATCAGTGCCCCACTATGTGATAGGTTCATCATCAAATCATACGCAGGCTGTTGAAGAGGTTCACTCTCCGCAAAACTGCCTTGACTAGATGGCCAATTGATGACATAACCGATGTGATCGAGTCTGACTCCAGCCGCAGAGCGAAACCCTCTAGCCCCTCGTCTTTTCGAAACACGGACGAAAGCGGCTGAGTGTGGCTTGGCTTCTCACACTCTCCATAACACTGCGATGTTGAGTCAGTCACGATAGCCGACGTACACATCGTCTGATCTTGGGATGGCAGTAAAGGCCAAGACAACGTTACTCAAAGTCTAATTTGCACGTCAAATGAACAAAAGAAGAATTCTGGGAGAGAAATACAAAAGATCCACAGGTTCGACCAGGCCTGCCTTGCGAAGGAGTGGTGACGGGTAAAGAAGCCAAGGCAATGTCCGTAGATGCAACGAAGAAGTTCAGACGAATCACGCTCTACATGGCACAATCCCAGACAAATTGGAAAGAACTTGCGGCTACTCAGCTGGCCGTGAGAGCCGTTCCGCCGTTCGCCACTGCGGTCTTGGGACGGGATGGCAAGGGAACCCGCGCATGAATCCCCATATTTAGCAGCAACCCACACCTCATGACACGCGCGCTCCTCGATTAAGTTGGTTAAACTTTTCGACAAAGCAGGTACTCCTTGTTCTAACAAAACTGGTTCTAACAATGACTGTAAAATAATGTTGATCTTCAATTTCCATTCATTTACTAGAAGCTGAAGCGCCTGAATAGATTGAGCAGATCCAGTCTAGCTTTGCGGCTCCTCCGGGCCATCTGACGAACGATAGTGACTATGAATCGGAAAGACCAGATACAAATACCAACGGGCGAATAACCGTAAGTTGGGAAGTTTTACTAGTTCTTTTTGAAGGCAACAATCGTTCGAAACCCACATTCGTTTAACACTATGTTACAGTCACTCACTCCTTTAACTCTACTGAGTTCACTGCTCTTGGCCTCTGGCCAGGGCGCTTTGGGTCATGGCCTTTCCGACCATGCCAGGCGATCAATCGAGCAAACAATGCACATTTCCAGTAAGAGGGCTTTGGATGGTTTCTATGTCATCGATCAGCAGGCTGGAAGTGAATGGGGCTGCACCGAGGAAAAGATCGCCGCGTTGGAGGGTGCCGTCAGAGATACGCAAGCATTGGCCTTCATGGCTTCAACTGTACTTGCCGAAAAGGACTCCGAGTTTTCTGATGCTTACATATTTTGGTTTGGTGGTAAGTTTCGACTTCTACATCTAACAGTGCCTAGAGGATGGTCTGACAGTCGAATACAGAGGACAACACCAAGGCCGCTACAAAGAATTCCATCAAGACTCTCAACTACGATCCTGTTCAAGATTTCCTCAAAGCCCCTGGTACACGCAACCGCGTCGATGATATGAGAATAGACAACCTCAGCCCTACCGGGCTTACGTACATGTGTGCTGCCGCAGATGATAGCATGTGCGCCGGTGGAATGGCTGCAGCAGCCCACCAGCACGGAGCCGGAGGGTTATCAGGCCACTCCATTGTGTTATGTGACCGGTTCTTCGGGGCTAACTCGCAACAAGATATGTTGCGGACTTGGAAAGATACGCGGAGACTTAGCGCATCTTCCGGCTTTTGGTTGTTGCACGAAGTCCAGCACTTAGGAGCTATCGTTAGTGATGGTCGACGATGCGTCGATGTCCCTGATCCTAATGAAACTGATGGCAGCGGCTGCTACGACGCCAACTGGTAAGTATCGATTATTATACGATATCTGGATATTCTTGCTGTCAAGAGCTTTGCTGATAAACCCAAAGCTGTTCGAGACTCAAAGGCGCCGATAAGATTAGAAACGCCCAAAATATGGCCTTCTTTGCATTGGAGGTCATGGCAGATCCCCAGAGCGGTGCAGCACCCGGGCAGTCATGTACCATTATGAAAAGAGATACGGGTAGCGTCTTGCTCGGAGGACCCGAAGATCTTATGGCGAGAGCAGACTACAGTCTAGATGCCAAGTATGAGGCGATGCTTCGTAGACAGGCTAAGGCATCGTCGACCTGGATCACGACACACCGAAACGGCACAAGCTCTCGAGTCCCGACGTCTCATTCGAGCAAAGTACCGGTGTTATCTTCAGAACGACCTACTAGATCGGCGTCGGCCTCACGCTCAAAGCCACCGGTGCCTCCTGCATCTTCGGGACCCCGATCCAGCAATCCAGCGCGGCCATCGTCGTCAGGACCTCGAGCCAGCAACCCGGTGCGGCCATCATCTTCGGCACCTCAGCCCAGCGAACCAGCACCACCGCCGTCCTCAGGGCCTCGATCTGGCTTCCAGGGACCTATCTTCACCACCAGGCCACCTATCCCAGCGAGCTCCTTTTCGGGTGCTTCATTCTCATACTCCTACTCCACAGCCCCGCCAACCACTGAGGAAGGTGGAGTTCCCATTATTCCCATTGTTCCAATTCCCATTCCCATCGCACCTGTTGCGCCAGTTCCTCCGATTGTGCCTCCGGTTGGTGGCGGTGGTGGCGGAAATGGCGGTGATAATGGTAACAACGGCGAAAACTCTAAGCCTGCAGAGTCAAATCCTCCAAAGACCTCAGAGCCTTCATCCCCGCCTACCTCTTTGCCACCTACGTCTTCATCAAAACCCTCGCCTACCTCGTCAACACCAGTCACCCGGTGTTCTTCTAGACCGCCGCTGTCAGTACCCACAGGAGGTGATGCATCACCAGACAGAGACGGGTTCCCTCAGGCAGTCTACGACGGTCTTGCCGCGGAAGCTCGTAGCACGAGCAGAGCGAGCAGTTCTAGCTCTACCTCCTCGCCACTCATGGTCATCACTGACGTGCCCGAGCCTGAGTCGACAGTTGAGGTAGTGCCGACTGCTACCCCTACTGTTGCTCCTGTCAACCCAGTTGCTTGCTATAACTTTGACATTAATGCCTATGGATACTGTTGTCCGGGCCCGGGTAACCCATGTGAGAAGGATATTGGAAAGTGCTACTTCAACGGAGAGGGCGTCTCTGGGGGTGCAAGTGGGATTGTACCAGACGGAGCCCGGTGCCCACCACCTCCTGGTGCTGAATATTGCAGAGGTCCCTGCGAAGAGTAGTTTCTCCAAGACAAGCGCCAGTAGCCATAGACTGTTGGGCGCGGTCTATGTGGAAGTCTCCCTCAGTCCACCTCTGACGTCGAACTGAACCCTAATTTTGCGCACCAATCGTTCTTTCAATTGTTTTGTTTTTATGTCGGTCATGCCCGAATATTCAGTCTTGACTTTCAGGTCTCCGTTGATCTAATATAACTAGTCCGTTGAATACCCCGCTATATAAAGGAGAGACTTGGTTCCAGGTACAAATGTGTGGCGTACGTCTTGGGAGTTACACATCGACTCGCTATCTTCCTTCCCGCATCTAGTTTTTAGTCTGTAGGTAGTGATCAATTGATGAAGTAGCTGTTGTGTTCTCGATGTTAACGATCAAGGATAATCTCAATAGGCACACGATCCTAAAGTCAATGTGATACAATGTCGGATCGAGAGGCTTCCTGCTTCCACAATAAAAACCACAGTGTCTTTATTATGTCAACTCGACTATCATCATCATTTAAGTCTCTTGGTAAATACATCAATCAAAGAGGCCAGTTCTCAGTGGGCCACATTATGCGTATCTCTTACGGAGGCGGCGTTAGCCTCTCTTCCATTCTGTTATTCGTCCTACTTCTTGTGGAATGGACCTAACAGGCTTCCCATGAGTGCTTTCTTGCTTTCAGAATTGATAGTATCATGGGAAAGCATCCGCTAATCCTTGAGCTAGAGGCATTATGCAAACAGTCATGTGGAAGTATAGAAGGCTTGAGTTGAAGTACGATAATCGGCTTGGGTAGTTAGAATGGAACGGGCCGTTGAGTGCGCCACATGAGTTGAGCAAGACTTAGACCGTGAGCCGCGTGTTAAGTGACAGATGTAGCAAAAGGTATGTTCTAGGAGTGCGTACTTGGCTTACTAAATAGGAGCCATGTCCTGCTAAGAAAAGAGGGGTTTACAAGTTAGCCTTAACACCAACACAGGTAATCTAGGTAGTTGTGTAAAAAGCTCCTACACGTATCTGGTATTCTTGTGTGGTCCAACCGTGCCTCTTCGCCTGGGTGCTTGCGCTAAGGTTTGAGACAGAGCATGCAAGGGCAGATGTATACGGTACGCTCCTAAGTCTCAACCGGGATTGAAAGATGGTCCCTTAGCATTTCATGCCGTCATAGTGACCTCTCGCAGTAAGACTACTGTGAGGGTGGCTTCCGTATCGTGGCTTTGCTTGAAAGCATGACCACTGTTGAGGTGCCACGTCAGCCATTTCTGTCCTGATATCTCATTTCTGTTGCCGTGCAGCTGGGTTTACCACGACGCTGTTCCAGCTGTTTTAAGTAGAGCACCTTTCAGTGCAATCTGGTGCTATATGTCTGGGTGATAACACTCAAACTACACGCTGTGCCGCCCTCCCGCCTTGGGCAACATCAGCCAGTACATTCTCTTCAAGACTTTCTCGGGGACGCCGGCTTGGCATTCCACCGACAGATTCGTTTCTATCGATTTTGGGATGAAATTCATCTCTTTTTCTGCGTCAGATCGACGATGATGCATCAGAGAAACGTGAGAAGGCATCGCTCGGTAAGCATTTTTCATCCCTCAGCCTAGCTGCATTGCAGATCACCACTGCCAGCGGCTGTTGAAGCGGCACAAAAGCAAAGTCCCGTACATGTATGTAACGTTATTCATTACCTTTCGACAGGATGTCCTTCTGACTATAATTAGTCCAAATGAAGTGATCGCGACAAGCGCTCATACCGCCGCCAGAAGAAATCGAGATTGACGATGTACTCAAGGCGGTGAAGTTTGCGATTTTGCTACTTATGCTTGGCCAGGCTACGATCCCACTTGTGAACACGAAGGCTCCGGCTTAAGAGCCTCGTGGGGGCTCTTGGGGGCTCGTGGGAGCTAGGCAAAAAGCCTCCCCCGGAAATCGTTTCCTCTACAAGCTGGGGTGGCTTGCCGAGGTGCACCACGGTCTTCGACCCTGGATATCGAGGCCTATTACCATCTGTCCACACTTCTGACTGATAACTAGGCAACACATGCTGTCTAAATCGGCTAGCTTGTTGTACTTTTCTCTACTCCAAGTTGATGGATAGGTTGTTTATGCGATATGTCGTCGATCTAGGTTGTTAGTCAGCCTTTGTTATGTTCTCATCAATTTCAGCAGCCAACATATTACCTGAGGATAATGAGCAGTAGTCGGATACCTACCTATATCCTGACGCCACGCTATGAGACCTGCTTTCAACTACGCAGTGACTGTTCCGTCATTCATTGGGCTGGGCCCCTTTTGGCACAGAATTGTTCTCTGTTTCTGTGCAGTGCGTAAGCGGTTAGGTGCAGCAAGTGACAAGTTCTCCAACTCAGGAGTGCCAATCTCGACGCGATAGAGGGGTTCGAAGTGCGGTTTGTTGAGGCATTTACCCCAATTTCTAGCCCAGTCGAGAATATCAAATGAAGGTCGGCACTTTCGCATTTTCGCCTTGAAGAAGTTTAGTCTTTTCATCAAAGTTGTGACAACGAATCGATAGAAGAACAGCCTTCCATGGCAAGGGACCTAGAGCGAGAGATGTTACTGATGCCTCTCCCATGATCAAGCCGCCCCTGACCTGGCCCTCTGCAAGTGCTCCAAGCAAGGGGTTTAGGCATGTTCTCACCCGCATGCTGTCCAAAACTGTGTCCGAGTTGAAATACTAGCGCCATAAGCCGCCATGGGTCGCCATGGTTCTGGGACGTCCTCATGATAAACCTGATCCGTCGAAATAAAGCGGCTTGGTCCTCGCCCGGTCTCGTACAGGCAACAAACTAAACTAAGTCTTCGATTACGCATCCTGCAGGCTGACATAGGTTTGTGCCAAAGTTGACTGGGTGCCGATTAGTGAATGATAGGTGGAGGAAGCTTGAAGAACTCACGACATTCGAGCCCGATGAGGCGGCTTGACTATGGAATGAGGCCCAACGGATCCAGTCTATGTATCGACCCTGTTATCGCTAAGGCAGTAGTATGCGACAGCCATCAAAGCGAGTCTAGGCTCATTCACAAGCCTGACATCTTATTTTAAGATGACCACAAACGCCCTACCATCAGTTCATGATGCTTCTTGGTTTCTCTCTGAGATACTCTCCAGTCATCCTCATCTCTTACCCCTCTTCCCGTTGTGTTTCATATAACCAATATCATGGACTTCCAACCCAAGAAACAATCTTCCAGGCGAGGTTCCGAGACCACCATTCCATCGCGGCACCGATCAAGTGTGCCCTCCCCTTACACCCAACCCCCACCACAGACGGCCTTCCCACAGACACATGCCGGATTTCCAATCAACGACTCATATCCATTGGCTCTGCCGCTCAATCAAGGAAATTCTGGGGAAGGCTTCCCGGCCTTTGTCACACCAAGCGCTGTCGAATACTCGGACTCTAATAGCTATCGCCATAATCATAACACAGTCACAACGGGGTACCCATACTCCAGCAGTGCCCCGGCAAACAGCATGATGTCCTACCCGCCCGTACTGTCGCAGGCAAATTCCGCCTATGCTGATCGCTCGTCATATGAGGTTCAGGCAACCTCGACACACCAGTCATTTTTGCCGCACCGCAGTCACCCGAATAGCCCTTTAACGTCTTATTCGGGGTTGACAGGTCATTCGTCCGCCGCGAGTTCTTACGGCTATCCCTATGCCGCCAGTTCTGCGACAACAACCCCTAGCGCAGCGAACACGCCTGTACAGCCCTTGTCGCCCACACTTATGGGAGTAGGGAGCTGGGATAATACCAGACAGCCCAGAGAAACCTATCAGCAACCAACTGTGGACCGAAGCAATCGGGAAGGACGTAGGGTTCACGTCACAGATTTCCCACCCAACCCCTCGCGATCTGAATCGATAGAGGTCCATCGATCCAGCAGGTAAGGGTCTCTTTCAGTGTCTGTCATTACGTGTCCTGATTGATTCCTAGTCCTCCGAGAGAGAGAGACATCCACATAAAGAGGCGCAGCGTTCGACCTTTGGCGTCGTGTAAAGATGACCAAAAGAGCACCAGCTCTCGGCCACGCAAAGACGACGACAAGGACGACAGAAGGAAACGGACACGGAACGAACAGAGACGAGAAGGTGGTTCGGACAGACGTGAGACGAAAACGTACTAGTTTGGCATGCAATTTCCAGAATTCTCTCTTCCTTGCTGGGTTTGCAGTCACTCTCAAGGGTTTCCTTTGCGCCCCTAGAGATTTCTTTGTATTCGTTGTGGTAAAAGTGGTGTTGAGATCCAATCAACTTCTGGTTAGGATAAAATTGTTTTCCCTTGCTGTGACTAGCACATGTATCAGGGGGTCCCAAAATGCAATTCTTCCAAGTTCTTTCTCGAAATCGTGGGAAGTTTGGAAATCTTTTTCCACTTCAATCCCTAGATGATATGACGCATCAACATTCGGCTCTAATCATGATTCCTGGCGCTTGGAGGCGAAAAGAAATGAAGCTGTCAGATATTAAGCGACTCCCGGCTAAGCACATGTGTGTCCAATAGGGCATCCTTTCCCAGTGAGGCTTCAAGGGCCCATGAGGCCGAAAGTGCTTGATTGGACTGAGGCTTGTGAAAAAGTGAGGCGGAGCAGCAAGATACGTCTTCTCCGCCGGGGTAGTTCGAATCGTCCCAACCAAAGATTCTTGCTTTTCTCTGCATAGCACTTCTTGTGTCATTGGCTCGGAACCTTGCCTTCTTACGATGAAGCTTTTTCATACCAGGACACGGAGGTGGGAGCCCAATCAGCGACCCGAACTTGGACTTCGTCTGCATCGCCACCCTTGCTCTTTACACCAAGCTAGTGGGCCTTTCTTCCAAAAGAGACCCTTGCTGCCGAGGCTTTCACCTTTCCACACAAATATGAACGAACTTGCTCCACCGTACAGCATTTGGCAGGTTTAAATCATGGAAAGCCAACTGGGATGAGTGGCGCGGACCGCCCGATGAAGCCACGTCCGGCCCAGTGGGAGCAAGGACACCGGGGTCCAGAGCTTTCCATACCTGACCCCTGGAGAGCATGTTAATAGAGTTTCTGGGGTCCTCTGTCTTTCGCTGGACTCGTCAATCATGTGATCAATAGAACTTGAGCAAAGCACTGCCAATCACTCCAACGTCGCCACAGGTGCGAGGCTGCAGACAGAACATGTCCAATAGTTCCCAGCCCATGCGCAACTTGAGAAGATGAAACCTAATTCAAAGACACTTTTACGGAATTTGCGACTTCTGCCTTTGGAAGAGATGAGATTGAGCCTGGTAATCTGTATCAACAAGCATTCGGGGGGCGAGCGGACGGAGCACGAGCCCCTATGAGCGTCGTTCATAGGAACCCTTGATCGTCAAAGCAGTAATCTGTACGGAGTACTTCGTAGCAGGACTTACCCGTGCCGTGAACACATGTCCTTCTTTGCTAAGGTTTTGCAGGGGAATTAGCCTCTGCGAAGTTTGCCAAACTCGGTCGAATTATCCGTACTTGCCCTTCACTGATTAGTCGTCCTGTCTTTACAAACATGATATCGACGATTGAAGCTTCCCTGTACCGATAAGTGGGGCACACCCATTTGGAAACCAGTCCACCTTCCTTGTCCTGGCACGGCCCTGGACGATGACCCAGATAATCAGTTGCTTACTTAGGTTTACGACTAGTAAAACTGTCGAGTTACGCCTAGTATAATAATACCTTGACCCCGGCGATAGATTTATTCAGTACTGGGTGGATTGGTTGTGGGATACATTAGGCTAAATAGGGAGCTACGAGCCAGGGGTTGTCCAGAGGCCGAAAGACCAGATGAACTACTATGTGCGAATGCCTCCATAGGATTTCAAATCAAGCTTTCTTTCCAGATTTCTCTACCTGTAATCGGATATTAAGCCAAGTCAAAAACCCCCGACGGCCGAATTGGCGGTGACACTCTCCGCGCCACTATGTACGGTCTTGCCGACGACTGTGGGTTACGGAAGTCGGCCTGTGCACGCATTATGATCATGAATCGTGAGTTTACTGCCTTGACTTCCGAATTAGGCATCAAGGCGCAGAGTCTCGAGCATGAGCCTTTCCTGTTAAGAATTAGTGGGTTGTCATCATGGCTAAGTACAGAGTTTTGGAAGTACTCGTCTCATATCTATCATCTGCTTGATCACCGCGGGCAGTTGGAGTTAATGTTATGACCGCCAGTTGGCAGCATGAGAGCACACATCAGGTGTGTTGCATGGGCTATCGAGCACCAGCTACGTCAACAGCTACGGAGGTGGCCTTTGCACGGTAGTCAGAGTCTCGAGCAGGCAGATTCTACCTAGCTCAATAGCTCTGCCCTACTACACTGGCTGGCGACGGGCTTTGCCAATGAATTCTGTCCCCTGTACTAGGTGCCAGTCGGCATGTTCACCTCGAAGACTAAGAGACAATAGCTTTAGTCTAGTTTCCAATAAGAATTTGGGAAAGTCGCCGGTGTATGTAAGAGTTGTATATCTTAGTTCAGAATTTAGGCTTAGCGCGTTCTCACAACATTCATCCTGAGTTCTAGAGCGCCGTCTAGGTAATCATTGAATAGGCCCCGCTGCACTGGGAATTGGCGGATCTAGTTTAGCCTCAGCTGGATTCGAACCAAGGTCGCGTGATCTTTGACTTCATGTACCATGTTGTAAGTCATGGAATTTGACCCATGGTTGTCAGGGGCTTGCACGGTGATTTCTATGTGTCCTATGACACGATTATGATATTTAAGACGTCTTTCTTCCAGGCCAATATTGATTTTTCCATTTTACATCAGGCACTTACAACTCATCAGTCTTTCTTTGACCATTACTTATTCAGTCACTCTCTACTCGTCCGTCATTTCATCACCGTTCAGAACCGCTCAACACAGCTTGAAGGGTAGATTGCCCCCTTAAATTCCTTGCCCTCAAGTTCTATTGCTCAAGGTAGCTAGACTAACGTTTGTATAGCAACCCTCACGTCAGACATTCAAGATGCGTTACACCACTGCTCTCATTGCTGCTCTGCAGGTCGCTAGCTTCGTCCAGGCCAGCCCTATTCTCTCTGACAGAGACGTCGCTGCGCCTGTCGATAGCCAGGCTCTCGACGTTCGCAATTCTGGAGACATCGCCAACCTCGACGCCGACAAGATCGTCGACCTCGAGGTCCGTGGCATCGAGAAGCGTGCCACCGATATCACTCTCTCTGCGGACACCGGCTACTATAAGCGTGTTGCCTACAAGGGCGCCGTCATCTTGCTTCACCTCTTCTACGACCTGGCTGTCAACCACGTCGTCTTCTACTGGACCATTGACGGCACGACCCCGGCTCCCGGCAGCATCCCTCTCGCCTTTGACGACCCTATCGGCGGTGGTTTCCCTCTGAGACAGTACACCCACGACACTCGCTACAACCTTGGAAGTGCTATGCGCCCTGGCGATGTAATCAAGGTCACCCCTTAGATGCCAGTGAAGTCAAAACATTAAGGTCACTTGAATATGACCATGCTCAAGCTCCTTCATCAAGGTCTCGATGGATGGATCAAATTTGGTAAAGCCTTGGGAAATTTTGATCAATTCAGTCACGTATTCTGAACAAGTCGGTTATCATTTAGACAGAGAAAGAGAGTAGCTTTCTATATATGGTCCATCATATATCACCAGCAATTTAACCTGAAATTGAAACACTATTACGTTGTATGTGCGAACGATGTGAATATTGGCGGCAACTAAGACATATCAGACAGCTTCCTTGAGAATACTGGAAGCATTGTTCTTCTTATTTCGCAAAATATCGGGGGCACATGTCCCTTATATCTTTCTATCGAGTGCTGTAACTGATTTTCTTACACCACGAGAGCTGAGTGTTTGTATTATCGGTCATTTTGGTTCGCAAAGTGACATCATTCTTCAATCTCTCGTGACTTTGTATCCTGGTCAGACTAGCGCATGGAGGTTTCGTTGAAAGTAGGTACTTAGTGACCGGAGGGTGTAGCCAACCTTTATGAGTATCTCAAGTTAGCGGCACCCCTCCTGGAGAGTCTTTCCTCACCGGTGCCCCAAAGTTCAATGCTCGCTGCTCTATCCAGGCATACCAGGGCGTAGGAGTTCGCCTCGTTTTTACCACACACAATGCCAATCCAAATGCCCAACAGATGTCTCCAGGCGGCCAGGCAGCCTTGCTTGATGCTGTGAGAAGCATGGTAGCGCCAGCCCAGGGAGGTGTTCGGATAGTAAAAGAAACTCGGTGAAGATTGTCAGACAGGTTGGCTGGAGGGACCGCCATGATGTGCTGGCAATGTGTAGGGCGCACAAATTCCTTCAGAAGCCTTAAAGGGGCTTAGGAGGAGGCAGGAGAATGGGGGCTTCCTATCTTGTGGACGACTCAGAGTCATGGCCGCACCTCCGAGTGACCTTGGTGTCTTACTATTTACAGCTCAGAGGGTAAGATTATAGGATTCCAGCACCCCGGGGGCGGTGAGTGCTTCCGTTGTATGTCTGTATCATCAGGAGTCATGAGAGAAGGGGTGTACTTCCACTTCATTCTCGTCCAATACAAGCCCCCCTATTCCAGGTTACCAAAACAAGGCAACTTTCGTATTCCTCAACATTGCCTCGTCCTTCTTACTTCCAGTCGGCATTAGCTCGATCACGTCTGCCTCATAGTGGTAGGTGAGCAGTCCTGTATTGGGGTGGCCGATGTGAACTTCCCATTTGAAGGCTTTTAACGTACTCAGTCGGGTCCCGCCCTGCCCTTCATGACTTCTTCCTTGGGGTCGAGAGACTTCCTGAGTAACATCCGAGCAGAAAGCGCAGAGTAACCGCACCATGCCTCTGAGCACTTGCACCACAAGCAGGGCCAATGAGGGCGGGAGCTCCACCCCTCAAGCATCAGGAGGACATGTGAGCCTTTCGGTCGGTGGGAGCAAGCTTGATTTCTTGAGAGTGAGAGGCCGCGTACATGATACAGTGGACTCTACAAAACCCTCTTCACACCCATTCATTTGAAGGTGGCTTTCTTCCTTGGACCCCAAGTCTCGCTCACCCACCATCAGGAAGCTTCGAAATCTAGCGGTGAAGATGGTGAGCCCTCATCATTCCACTCCAGCCTTGCAAGGCCATCCACTCAGCGCTGGTAGCTGTACCGGAGCCCAAGATGGATCGACAGCGTGGGTGTTGCCTACTTCTTTGTTTTGAATGTGCTTGTCTAAAACACTTCCAGATCATCTACGAATAACCTTGTGGATGGCCATTCAAGCCATGACAAGCATGGGTCTGCAGAAATGTGGCATCCTACGCCTTCACTCACTGACTTTGTGGATGCCGTGCAGAGTGCGCATAAGAGGCTTGCAGATCGAAGCACCTCTGGCAAGCAGGCCAGGATGGAAGGGAAAAGTGCGGCTGCAAGCGCGCTGAGCGCCATCCCGGGGTTGAATTCGCTTTTGCAACCTCTCAAGCCATCTGAGGGCACCAAATCTCATCAGTTCACTGGAGGACACAAGGGAGACTTCGCGAAAGGGGGTCGCTGATGCAGCACATCAAATCAGGCTGAGACCACCTAGGCAGGTAATTATTCCACCGGGCCCCAGCAAGCAGAGACATAACGCAAGCGAGCTCACATGGTTTGGCCTACGAACACATACTGACTTACAGCCACAGAGCATAGATAGTTTTGTGAAGATTCTGTTCAAGGTGCAAGCCGCAGTTCTATTGTTCATGGTCTTTGATGCCATCTACCTGTCTAAGTACTGAGTAGATGGAGCGGAGGCATCGGTTTTCAAGTGGGGGATACGTGGTTGCTGGAATGCAACGTGACTATGGATTCTTGGGGAGGCTCATAATGATGGATTGGTGTGGTGAGGACACCTTCTGTGGAAAGGCGAGACTCTGCGGCTGTAGACTCCTCTTCTGATAGATGCACCAGGCTCTGACTTGATAGTGTAACGATCAAAATCATTGAGATGCGATTTTCACTACCTGCCTAATTCGCTTCTCCATCGAAGAAACTCGCGCTGTACATCTTGGGTTGCCGCCACTTGACGAGCGGACTGACACGTCGCGGCATACTTTCAAGCTGTGGGCTGGATAATGAAGCCAGAATGAAGCTTGCATGCAGTGGTTTCTCGCTTGTTGGAAGCTCGGCAACACCACCACCGCACATAATGAGGGTTGCATCGACCGAGACAGGCCCCAATTTTCCCTGCCTCTGCAGTTCAGCTATGTACAAAAGGATATCGATAAATGTGATTGATCTGCTTTGCCTGCGTCTTGTCCACAATTCATTTCGGCACGCGAGAATTAGCAGCGGTCGGCCCGCTGCTCCCTTGATACACTGCGGCCCGTTTTCCATAGAAACAACATGGGATTCATACATCGCCGCCGAAGAGGAAAGTCGTAAAAGAACTTGCGACCCACGGACAAGAGCCACCCTCGTTTATCTTGTAACATCCTAGAGAAAAGAAATCCGATGGCATGGCACTGGGGCTTTCCGGGATCAATGATCAACTCTAAGGGCTGTCTTGACTTCAATCTCTTTGGCCATGTCACATCGTTCTACCGATCGAGAACGCCAGCCTGCCGACAGAGGTAAGGATCTCCGAAATCTTGCAGAGAGCTGAAGCACCTGTGGCGCTGGAACGCTGGGGTGAGCTAGATCGACAGCTCCCACACGAGCGGCTGTCGTTGAGAAACATGTCTCTACAATGCGGGGAATAACAACTTTCGCGAGAGCTGGATTATCGTTGCTCTGGCCCGAGGCTTGAGGAGAAGGTGAAGACGAACTTGACGAAGATTTGTCTTCCCTCCAAATGCACCGACATGTCAGGCGATTTGAGGTAATTGTCGGTCAGGCAAGACGGCTTAACTGTGCCGTCTGCTTGTCTGCTGTGCCTCCATCATCCACGGCCAAGTCTGATCCTTCTCCTGGTCATCTTGCCGATAACAGCACCGACCACTATTCTCACTTGATTATTCCCGGCGCAAAGAATGGTAGCCATATATGCCAACTTCGTTCCAAGACTTCTCAATCACAACTTTCTTGTTCGGAAGACTACCCAAAGGCGGGTTTACTAGCCGCCCGTTACAACATCAACAGGGAGTACACCTTCCGTAGGATGGGCGCCAACCCAGATCCCTCCACAGCCTGCCGCAAGATCATCTGTTTTGTATCCCAAAATCCAGGTTGTCGGCTGCAGAGCTTACTGAATCCTTGCTATCCTGAGATATTAGACCCCAACGGCCCCAGCTTGTCCTAGGTTATCTTTTCAGGTTCACCTTCGGCCTTCCCGACTCTCCATCCTCCCCAACGGCTCGGCATCGAGGGTATCACGACCTCAAGGGACTCGGTGGTTCTTTTGCAGTGAACCACCCCAGCAGTGGCCGTTATTCTTCTCCGAATCTGCTATACCCTCGAAAGCTCTAGCACCAACAACGAACACAGCTCTTCCATCTGCGGCACAGAACTCCGTTGAAGTTTTGGCTGTGGCTGTGGTCCTGCCTCCAGCGTCATAGCAGCGCAGGCAACCCGGCGGTCCACAAATGTCAGCGTACCGGTGAACACTCGTCTATCCTGGTGCAACAGAAAGACAGTCTCTCATCCAGCCGAGTGATTTGGTCAGGGGCTATGGTTTTCTTTGCAAGCGATACCATGTCGAAGAGTCGCAGCAGTCTGCCTCGGCAGTGCTGCGAGTGCACCTGAAAACGAAGCTGTTGATCGGCCCCTTGTTCCGGTATGCCCCCCGTCCCATGATTCTATGGTGCTCTTTTCTCTGCATTTTGGGCGAAGCTGACCTATCACCTAGTCTGTGATAGCCGCTCCTTATGACACATTCGATTCGAGAAAGCTTGACGACATTCTTCACCGACAGTGGGCCAGGGTTATCCCTAACTTCAAACGACACTATCCTCCATCCATGGCAACGGCCTTTGGCCTTGCTTTATCGATTCGATGTCAAAGCTCAGTACGAAGACCCACGTTCGTGAGGGCTTGAGATATTCTGGTCATGGATAGAGCAGGACGCCCAAGGTTGTCACGGTCCCACGAATTCAAATCGTGCTTGTTGTCACTGGCCGAACTATAAATATGACGAGGACGTATTGTCCGGCGACAAACGAATCGAGACTTCTCTCATCGTCACTTCAACGCAAAGATCTACGGCACTTATCACCAAGCTCCCGTCTTCAATACCTACACTTGTTGCTCTCTTTTGCTTCTTTATCTAGGAACCAACCATGTCAAACTTTATCCAACACGGCAAAGACGGCCGACTATATTACAGATCAAGCGATGGGAAATGGTATCCCTACACCAAATCATCCTACTCGGATACAACCCCGGCCTCAACCCAGCAATATCATCAAGGCCAATATGCCGAGCGACGCCCCAGCTATCATCAGTATGCGGACAACACGGCGGAAGCTGGAAGGTATGCAACATCGTCACCCTTCTTACATACGAGACTTACTCACGACTAATCGTAGCTTCTACGGAGAGTATGACGAAGACGACGTCCCTGCGGCCTCCTCGTCTACACAAGGTGGATCAACGGAAACTGCCAAATATGTCAAGAAGCAAGAGAAAGAACGAAGACACCGGGAGAAACTACGGGAAGGCGGTCGATCCGGTCGGAGTAAGCATAAGAGCAATACCAAGAAAAAGATCGACGAGACTCTCAAGCCATTCTACAATAGCAAGTAAGCGATGGACGTCAACATAGCAACGCGTTGCTAAAGCGTACAAGTGGATACGGCAATTTCTTCGCGTAATTCCGGTGGCTTTCTACTCTTTGGTATTCTCTTGTTCCTGTATAGTACCTTAAATGGGATCTCCTCATGTCTGTACAACTCTTTCATTCACACTAGTGCGTTTCACATACGCAGCATAGCATTGCTACCTTCTTTCTTTGTAACTCTAGTCAATCCAGTGTAAACCTTTGCACAGAGCACTGTTCTTGATTGAGACATATGTTCGTGGGATGTCACTGGTGGGTCCAGACCGACACACGGCCTCTTTTGACCCTGACCTGGAAGCACCTTAGCTCACATTAAATCTCCGACATGACATCACGTTAAACGGCAAATGTCGATCAGGAAACTTGGGATTGACACGCTGTAGGTTGATTGAACCCGCGTCATACTTTTTACATCTGGCTTAGCAGTTCTAGTGTTCTACAAGTCTAGTTCTACATCTATAGTCTATACACTCGTGCCCTTTTTCGTCACCCTTCCTCGACTTAGAAAGACACTTATTCGACTCTCGCTCTCTTCTGGCCATTGCCGTTGGTGTGGCCATTGGTGCCGTTGGTCTCGCCCTGAGCAGCGAAGTACTCCAGGCTGCCCTTAGGGTCGGCCTTCATGCCCTTGCTGCCGTTCATCCATCCGGCGGGGCAGACCTCACCGTGCTCGTCGGTGAATTGGAAAGCCTCAACAAGGCGGATAGTCTCCTCGACGTTGCGGCCGACGGGCAGGTCGTTGACAGTGATCTGGCGGAGGATACCCTTGGGGTCGATGATGAAGAGACCGCGAAGGGCGACGCCCTCCTCCTCGATCAGGACGCCGTAGTCGCGCGAGATCTTGTGAGACTTGTCGGCGACGAGGGGGAGCTGGAGGTCGGAGCCGAGGCCGCCCTGCTTGCGGGGCTTCTCGGTCCAGGCCAGGTGGGAGAAGTGGGAGTCGGTCGAGACGCCGAGGACGGTGGTGTTGATGGCGCTGAAACGGGGCAGCGCGTCGTTGTACTGGATGATCTCGGTCGGGCAGACGAAGGTGAAGTCAAGGGGGTAGAAGAGGAGGACGACCCTGGAGAAGATTAATGAGTTTAGCTCTAGGTTGTCTCATTTTCGGCGCGCCGTTTCGCTATGGCTAGTTCGGCAAGAATCCACATACCATTGCCCCAAGTAGTCAGACAGCTGGATGTCCTTGAACTCGCCGCCGGGGAAGACGGTGGTCGCCTTGAAGGCGGGAGCAGGGCGCTGAACGAAGGCAGTCGAAGACATCGTGACGGCAATAACGTGTATCTTTGCGTGATCGGAGGTGGAACGGAGAGGAAGAGAGCTAGCTATTGTGGATGAGATGATAACAGTGTCGGTAGCTTTGCGCCAGGAGGCGGAAATTTTCCTTATCTATGTTTCACTGATTTCAAGCTCCCGACTCAGATCCTGGACGCTGTGGATACCTTCTTTTGCCATTAGGTCCACAGATTGCTCCATGGTCTCATTTCGGCAATCTTCCATTTAACTGGTCATGGCGTGATGCGTTAAAGTGTGCTCACGCGTCGCGTTCTGGTTTTTAAACTTTCGCGCGATAAGGTAAGATAAGTGGGATCAAAGATAAGATCCTCCGATCACCGAGATCATGATCGTGATGGTTTTGAGCTTGTGTAACATTGACAGCTAATGGGCCTTTGGTTGCGTTATTGAAAACTATACCGCGTAGAGCCAACGAAACTTGAGTGGAACAGCACTCCAACAATAGAGATGGAGAAACCGCTTCCGTTGCGATTGACTGTCAATCTCATTTCCTCCCTAGCCAACGATGGCTTCGAATCAGAAGCTCAAGCAACTTCAGCGTCGACTTCGAACCCGAGTTGACAGTGCCTGCCTTCATTGACGCTGGTTTTTGTGAGGTTACTGCATGGCAATTCTGGCTGAGTCAGGTAGTAGGCTCATTTTTGTCGAGGTGAACCCAGACCTACAGGTCGGGAGCGCGTTACCCCAAATCTTGGAACCGAAAATGGAGCGTATCTCCAGAGGCCGAATTGAGCATATGGGCGCGCTCAGTCAGTACTTACCAAAGCTCAATGATTTCGTGTAGGCTCTATCATCCTGATTGCTTGAGACTGGAAAAGAATTGATGCCATAGCCTGTTGCTGATGTTTGCTGCTGCTGCTGCTGCTGCTGCTGCTGCTACTGATGATGAAGCATCATGGGCGCTTGCCCGACCAATGAGATTGCTCGGATCTTCTACCGCACAGTATGGCCATACCCAGCTCAAGGGCTGTGATCGCCTTGTCGAGTCTCTGCAAGAAATTCGGCAGCTGAACGCATTGATCTACGGTTACTCATCTGCGAACCCGTTCGCGCGGTGTGGGTTGACGAAATGTCGGTTCCCGTGGGCTGTGATACCAGTGGCTGTCTGGCTGTCTGCAAGGCAGTCTGGTTAGCTGCAGAAAAGCAATGTGTGTCGAGCCGGGGCAGCAACGGAGCATTCCTCACAAGAATGCCCACTTTCTGCCAGCGAACACCCAAGGCCGAATCACCCTTGACCGAATCTCACTGAAAAGCCTTGTAGAGATACGGAAGGTGATGTCTGCCGCGGGTTGACAGCATGGCCAAAGGTCCACCCCCTCATACCCATTGTGTCCATACCAGTCTTTCTCAGTATGACAACGCAGAATCTCGTATTCTGCTGCGGTGTGGCAGCGTGGCTGATGCTACGCCAGTGTGCAAGACTGACTGACTTAGAATGCAGGTGTCCCAAAAGGAGGGGGGCTTGCATCCCCATCCCATGCCGTAAGCATATGCAACGAAGTGTGGAGGGGGTCACTGGGCTCTCGCTAGGCGGTTATCCCATTCTCGGATTACCAGGCCTTGATGGGTCCAGGAGGAAATGCCCGTGTCGTCATCATCCAGCCTTGTGTTCCAAACCTCCATGCTTGAACTTCCACATGTTCTCATTAATTGTTGTTGAAGGTTGTCTTTTTCGGTTTTTTGGGACCCGTTGGTCGTAAACAATGGTCGAAGTCGACTGTCGAGGGATATTTCTGCAGGCTGGCGAGCTGCGGGCTTGCGGGCGTTTCGCGTAGGTATGTTCCAGTTTCGGTCAGCTGCCAACCTCATGAATTCCGACCCCGCCTTCTGTAAGATATACCTAGGTCATCCGAGCATGTTTGAGCATAAAGGAACACTATTTCCTTGCTCCATTGCGCAAACTATTCATCGTAATTTTGCCACCCCATTTTGTCGTTTGCGATTTGACTTTGTCGACTTCTTACGCTGCCGCATGCTCGCTCGACGGGGCTGTTCATCCCAGGCTGATTCTCAGGCTGACAATGGCCTAACCCCCAATGTTCCTCTCGCTCACTCTCGGGGAAGCCTTCCCAGTACGTGGGTTGGGGCTGTGTACGGCGTAGAATGTGCTATGATGCTGTCATCAGCATCTAGTTCTGAGGTGTCTTGGTGAAAGCAGCAAGCTTCACTGCAGTATCTCTGGGCGTACTCAGCCATGCCACAGCTCAGCCCCTTCTCAAAGGCACGGCCCTTTTCTTCCTCTCTTCTGTTTCTCTATCAAGAGCTTCGGGTGCTCTTTGATGGCAAGCTTTCGGTGCCTAAGGACTGACACCTCTCAACAGCGGCGGCGGTAAGGTGACAGCGTTGCCCCAAGCAAAGCTAGGCGTCTCCATTGGCCTCTGCGAACCAAGTGCGAACCATTCCTCCGTCTCCACTCCCAAGCCGCCGTTCCTCCTTTCCTCCATGGTAGCCACCGACGGCTTCTTGTTCATCATCGAAACTTTGAACGAGTCAGCTGAGCTTCCGGCGAGCCGATGTCCATTGGTGAAACGGCACCGCTGCTCAGGGGCCTCAGAGTCACTGCCCGGATTCTCAAAAACACCTGACAAGGGCCGCACGGATTCAGCGTAACGAAGAGTCCTAGCCCGGGTTGACGTCCAAAGAAGTGGATAATCAACCAGGGCTTAGCCAGTGGCTAGTGCGATACCTTTGACGATGTCACTGGGTGCGCCGCCGCCGCTGTTGCCTGGGGTCCTCAGTGGCTCTCTCTCCCAGACCAAGTCTTTACTGTATAAAGTAAGACGCCCTCTCTGTCAGAGTAACCTTCGACTGAGTCTCGAAGGACGATAACTCAACAACTTTATCAACACTTTCCCCAAGCAACCAGGCGCATCCAAACGCACCCAACCATCTTCAACATGAGCAGCCATAGATCTTCAGACTCCGGTCGGAAGTCATCGAGGAAGACCACGACGGCCCCGGCTTCATCGTCGTATGGTCAAGGCCAAGGATACGGAAGCACGCAGTACAACGACGGGCCGGCAACCACATCGCAACAATACAGCCATCGTCCCTCGTCGTCAACGTCGACACCGCAACCATACTACACCGACAGCTTGAGTCAGCCTTCATGGAACAGTTCGACAGGAAGTCAAGGGTATGTTGGTCCCAGCATTGACTTATCTCGGTGATTTGTCCTAACAAAAGAATAGTGGTATGTCCTACAATGATCCCAGGTCCACAGAGGTGGCTTCCAGTCGTCGCCAGGTCGCAAAATACGCTCAAGATCATCCGGGCACCACGCAGCTCCCTTCAGCGTATCGCACCGACTACCAAGCGGAGCTCGCCAACTTTGACCAGAGATACCAAGGCCAATCATCGACAGGGACACAGCCGTATTGTTCTACGTCCACATACGCTCCCACCCTTGATCTCGACTTCCCTCCAAGCCAAAGTCAAAGCCAAAGCCAAAGCCAAAGTAGAAGAGACGACAGACGCGGGAGTTCATCGGCCTCTGGAAGCAAGCATCATTCCTCTTCGTCTCGTCGTCATAAATAGAGCCAGCTCTGTGCCACAGTTGCCTAGGTACGCATCATCGTTTGACACATGTCCACATTTCTTCTGACTTCTCGTGCATCAGTAGTGCTTGTTACCAGCTACACTTGTAGCGGCTCACACAGACTCGTCTCAGTTGAACATGCCGATGGCCTTCTCTTGTGGACAATAGAGCGTTCCCTTTGTCATAGACTTTCCACCCTTCCGAGAACAGATATGGTCTGCGAGGGCCGCTGAGAAGCAAAACTAAAAAGAACACAAAGAGAAAAGAAAGAAGAAAGAATAGTTCGGCGCAGACTGTATTGGTTTTTGAGTGGCATCATAGATGCGAGGCCAAAGAGTAAGAGAGAGGAGTAATGGAAGGAAATGCCTCGATAGGTTTGACTTACGTTGATATTCGGGTTGTCAGGTCGTACCCTTGCTCTGCTATTCATCGACATCGTTTGCTTTGACTTGTGGTTTATAATGCAATAGAACTTGTATAACATACCCAACTTTACATTCCTGCAAAGCGTCTTGGACATAGTCCATATGTGAGGCGGGTCGGATCTTTATACTCTCATGACTCCATGGCATGTGGTCGAAAGAATGACTCAAACAAGCGGCGCTTTCTGCGGCTACATGCCACGTTAAAGTTTAAGACGTGTCGTTCCTGTTGTGCCGTGCTACTTCGAACATCACTGGTTGGTTGTAAGTGGGCTTGTCCTGAAGTATTGTTTCGCTGGACGGCTTCTCTGATCGAATCACAATGTGACTGAGCCTAGGCAGACAGCAAGGAGTTCATAACTTATAAACATGGCGGTCCGCCCTCTTCCAAATCATTCGTGTTTTTCGCCTCTGTCTCTTCAAGAATTTTCGCCTTCGCTCTTCGTTCTTCGGCTCGACGACTCGAATGGTCGACGTCGTCCTCGGCATGACTCGGAGGCGGCGGCATTGGGATGCGAGTGCCACAGCTGGTCTGAGGCTGCGCCCCGTGGCGGCGAACGGCTCCGAGGTCTCGGCCCTCACAGCGTCTCAGCTGCGCCCTATGACCGGCGCTGTCGGATGTTGGGTGACCCCTGAATGCAGTGCATTTTCTTCATCATCGCGGCGGTGATTGGTCCCTGTGTTCTGGAAGGACCCCTGTCTCTGCAGCAAAGATCTCCGTTGGGCGCAGCAATGCTGTGCTGAAAAGTCGCCTCATTGAGAGAGTATCGCGCGGTATATCTCCGGCATTCGTAGTCGAACATGGAAACATCAACAAGCCTCTTTCTGGAGGCCTCGAAGTGCAAGGGAAGAGGTGAGGTTGAATTGGTCTCCGGTAAGGTCAAAGCGGCGCCGGTTCTGGCGGGTCGCCGAAACTTAAACTTCCGGGTCTCCTGTTTGCGGCAGGTGCCAAATGCATCACACCACTAAGAAGGAGCAAACGGTAGGAAGGGGGAACAATGCACCAAACGGGCGGTTGGATAATGGAAGATGGCGAAAGAATAAATGTTAGATTGCATGGCACTGTGACAGAGAACAAGGAATTTGATCTGTTTTTGTACCTGGCCATGAACACGCAAGTGTTAGCTCACTTTTACGATGCCTTCGAGGCGCAGTTTGCAGACGAATGCAAAGTGATTCCTTTTCCAGCACACGAAGGATTTGGGTAACTGAGGATCAATTGACTGATGCCTAGTCACTTATCTGCAACGGATCTTTTGGTTGTAGTTAGCCGCTCGAGTAATACGAGGGACCTAACCATCGTTCGGCGTATGAGTCAAAATGGCATCCAAACTCAAAGCTGAATATGCCTTATTTACCCGGGTACTTCAACATTCCTTCCTAAAAGCTCATCGAAAACATCCCTTTTCAGCACGTAAAGCAGCCAATTCTTACCTGCGCCAGCGACTTGACTCTAAGTAAGACGGACGTTCCGCTAGGTCTCGGACTTGCACCCAATCATTAAGTACCTAGCACCGCTTACCCCCGTGAACCAAAGTTTCAAGTATCGCCGTTATACGACATACACAATCAATCCGAATCAGGAGAAACCATGTCCCGCAAGCCCATCGAAATCGACGGGCGGACCGGTGAAGGAGGTGGGCAATTGGTTCGCGTCGCCATAGCCCTCGCAGCAGTCACCACTCAGCCAGTACGCATCACGAACGTAAGAGGGAATCGTCCTTCCCGTGGCGGAGGTGGTAGTGGGAGGAGTAAGAAAGGCGACAACAGTAGCAGCAAAGGAGGCGGTGAGCACCCACGCGTTCACTTATACACAGCCCATCTCAACCAACACTGTAAACTAACAACAACGAACACAGGTCTCAAAGCCCAACACGTCACCGCAATCCGGTGGCTAGCAGAAGCAACAGACGCAGAGGTAGAAGGCCTCTCCGTAGGCAGCAGCACCCTAACCTTCATCCCCCGCCTCTCCCCCTCTGCTGCTCTCGTCAACAAGTCCCGCAAGATCAAGATCGTGGCGGATACGAGCGCGGCGAGCACGCTCCTGATTCTCCAGGCCATCCTCCCATTCCTTCTCTTCGCAGGCGGAGACGACGCTAAGCCCATCGAGCTCGAGATCCAGGGCGGGACGAATGTAGACTTCTCGCTTTCGTACGAGTACCTAGACCAAGTTCTCCTCCCACGCCTAGAATCTTCATTCGTAGGCGTACTCGTCGAGCGGAAACTCGTTACGCGCGGATGGAGCAAGGGACCGCAGAGCAGGGGCTCCATCGTGCTCACGATTCACCCTCTTAAGCCAGGCCAGCCGCTGCGTCAGCTATCTCCCATAACGAACCCATACGACGGTACCCCCTCCGAACGTCGCAAGGTAGTACACTCCATAGACGTCACAATGATCGTCCCTTCCTACCAGCAGGCCATTCTCCAAGAAACACTAGCAACGGAAATCGCCGGAGCTTTTCCCCACGCAGAGCTGGTGTACAAGCACGCTGAGGACTCGGGCAGCGACAAGCGGACGTATACCCTCCTGGTAGCCAAGGACGCCTCTGGGATGTTACGTTGGGGCTGCGACGAGTCCGCGTCTCCGAAGCAGAGCCGGCGTAGACAACTTGGGCATGAGCACGACGATTTCGCGTGGGCCATCAGCCGCACGGTCGTTTGCCGTCTACTTGGTGAACTATCGATACCGGGCTCGACGGTGGACAAGTTCTTACAGGATCAGCTTATCATCTTCCAGGCTTTGGCGGAAGGGACAACGTCGTTCCCACGTGCTGCTGCGCCGAGCAGCGGCAGTGATGACGACGTGGAGGTTGCGAGTCAAGACATGGCGCAGTTGGATCTAGGGGAGAGGATGAAGAAGGATAGGACAGATAAGCCATTCGGATATGGCAGCTTGCATGCTCAGACGGCGAGATGGGTGGCGTCAGAGATCTTGCCTTCGGTGGAATGGTATAACAAAGGGACGATATGCAAAGGGGTTGGAACGAGCTTCAGCTAAGAAAACTGGATATATCGAACAACGCAACCTGGAACCTGAACAGAAAGCTTCAAACACACACAAAATCAGTCTGCCTCCAACTCCGTGCCAATAACAAGCGCCATGTGAAAGATGATCCAAAACAATTTTTCATGTCCCAGCCCTCACTCTGCCTTGCTAGCAGGAGCGATCGTCCACTGTCCCTCCCTCAAACTAGCAGGGCCACATTTCCACGAGCATCCTCTCCTCAAGAACGGAACAGCCCCCTCGTTCTCCTCATCCAAATCCGTCCAGGGGCGAGCCTTGACGACGTGACCTTCTTGGGTTTGCCTGCTCTCGACAAGGCAAACCTGCCACCACTCCAGCCACTGCGTTGTGGGTGCCACAAAGGGCTTCTTACACGCGGAACAAGTAAGTCCGCCAACTTCACGCTGGTCGGCAGCACGCTCGAGTAGGGCTTGCAAGTGAGGCAGCGAATCAGGGATGTAGTCGGGCAGGTCGCCGAGGTCGGAGCTCTTGTAAGCACTTCGTAGTGCCAACTCCATCAGACTAGGAACGCGACTTCCCTTTGCACCCGGAACGCTTCTCCCAGCGGACTTTGAGTGGTAGGGTGCCGATGACGGTGGGGAGATGAGGGATGTGCTGTCTCCAGTGTCGTCCATCCGCTCCGTCTGCACGATCACTCCCTCCGGGTCAAGGCGGAACTCAGAGTGCGAGAAGCCCGAGCTATCGAGATAGTGGACTGGTGATCGCACGATAAACCTGCCCGCAACACCGTCAAAGCCGGGTCTCCATGCCTCGGTCAGTTCCGACCCCCCAGAAGCGTTGCTCTCAAGACTTTCCAAGTCAGCCAGCGCAGGCCGCTCAGCCGCCTGGAAGAAGTGGTTGCCCTGTAGAAGCAACTCTTCCAAGGCGGAGGGAGCTGCCATGAGATCCAGAAGCTCGGCCGGGAGGTATCTAAGCAAATTCTGGGCGAGGTTCAGGGTGCGAAGACTTCGCATCTTGCCAATCGCAGGGGGCAGCTCCCGTAGTCGGCATCCACGAAGCGAAAGCACTGTCAGGTGCTCCAGGTCGAATATGGCCCCCGGAAGCCGCTGCAGAGGGTTGCGGTACAGATACAGCTGCAAAGCGGGATCCTTCTGCTCAAACGGTACTCCTTCGGCAACAATGGGAATGCAGGAGAATTCGGACAGAGGGCGAATGGTAGCATCGGTAAGAGTCTTGAGTCCCATCATGCTGTTTACAGTCAGATCTACTGGGGTGCCTGCAGTTGGGTCGCACACTCACGATAGATCAATGTACTCGGTGCCAGAGTCCAAACATTGCTGTACCCTTTCCCGCGCTTCCAGTTCCTCGGCCGAGATGACGTTGCGCCGCCGAGCCATTACCCGGTCGAGCTGAGGTAGCTTCGACTGCGTCGGCAGATCGGGCATCATCACGCTCTCGTCGCCATCTGTGCTGTCGCTGCCCATCCAGACACCACTGTCCAGGTCGCGCTTCAAGGTTCGCTTGCCCCTCAGCGCTGGCCGCGGCTCCCCGGTTGCAGAATCGGAAGAGGCAGGCTGCTGGTGGAACCAAGAGCCTACATACTTCTTCTTCTTTCGCCGTCCCTCGACATAGTTGTCCAGACCTGGGTCGTCATCGCTGGAAAATACGGCAGGATCACTAGAGTTGGACCATGATGGCGGCGCGACAGAGTGGCTTTTAAAGTTGTACCTCCGCTTTCTCGGATTATTGCTAAAACTTTGGGTCTGGGCGTTCCATGAGATGGACGGCAACAAGCTGGGAAGACTGGGTTCGTCGGCCATGGCGAAGATTGAAAAGAAGATGTAAGAGAAACGAGTCTGAAATGTGTGCGAGGTCCAGCCGGCACCAAGAGATTGGGAAGCTCCCGTCCGAGGCCCGCCACCACGACCCTCGCCCGCGGGTGGGACAGCGCGTGTCGTGACGCAGGTGGGGGTTCGAACGCGTTCGGCCAGGGTCAAGTCCCACAGGGGTATTCCGCTCACACGATCTCCGAAGATAGCTCCGAACACCCTTGCACTGAGTTCCAGGAGCTGTCAAAGTGCAAGCTGGAAAGACCTCGGAGTTATCAACTTATTCAGTCTCTCGAAAAGCCATGAAAAAAGGTCATTGTTTACGTCTTGACGCGACCAACAGTTGCCTACTGGCCCTCCCGAAACTTAGAAGCCCTTGCCCAAAAGCGGCCTAGCCTTCTTTCCTTCCCCGGGAGTCGTGACACCCTGAACCCCACCCATGCACAGGCCAATCGATAGCCGTTATCTTCAGCCTTCAGGGTCTCCGCAGCGGTAACACGCGGGGCATCAGATGCACGAAATCCAGGAACCAAGATTAGCCCCTCGTCATACGATGACACTTTAGCACCAGCTGCACATGACACTCTCCCCCGTTGCGCATAGCTTTTCACTTTGGTCCGAAGGCTTCCTAGGTCGCATGGTGATCAAGTTTTATTCCTTGGTAACCGTCAGATTCCCCATTGACGTATGACCTGGTATCTCTATTGGACGAGTCCTCGTTCCGAAGAGCATAATATCTCATTGCGGGAGAAAGGTACAGAAGAGGCCTGCAAGTAACATGACTTCGTGAATGTGGAGGCACAGAACTCCGTGTTGAGTCAAGCTGCGCATGATGTAGGATCTGCGGATGAGAAAGGTGTCAATCCCGGTCCATCC